CACTGACGTCATAGTCGCCACCGAGCAGATGCTGCAATGTGCAGACCCAGTAACCCAGTGCCGAATCCAAGACGAAGTCCTCCTCCTCCCCGAAGACGAAGCGAGGCGGCTGCGTGAGGGGGCGGGAGGGGTGGTCGTGGAGAAGTGCCTGGAGAAAGTGAAAGCGAAAAAGGCTGGCAACACAGCGAGAAAAACTTATACAAATACCATTGAAATACATGAAATGCATCTTTAATTTGACCAAATAAACTAAAAGCGCGTAGTAGAAACGTATTTTTTGTATATAATATTACCCTGTAATAATAACATTTAAAAGTTTTCCGTTTCGTGGCCAAAATATCGAAGAATACAAGGCATTACAAAGTGTTTTCAATTTTTAAGATTACATTTTTGAATCTGATGCATATTCCATAAAAAATGGAATTTATATTTAACAATATATACGTTATAACATTAAGTAAAATACTTTACAGCAAGGCGCTTCAAAATCAGGTAATGTAACCCAACCGTTTTGATTTCTCAATTTGTCATATGAAATATTTCCATTAAATAAGCTACGCATAAATATTATTATTTATTTTTAGCTCGCTTAATTTGCATTTGACTTTATTTTGAGCTATTAGAGTGCGATGAACAATTTCTTTCAGTGCCGAAACAGCGAAAGGGGCGTCTGCAACGGCACGGTAGCGGGGCGAAGTGTCCTAGATTTTCGGGGGCTGCTATTTTTAGACGCACTCCCACCGCCACACCGCCCACTGCCCACCTCACTGCTTTCCCTTTGCATTTCCTCTCGCAAGGATTTTTCCGCCATTTCTTTCCGCTCTCGATTATCTTGAAGCACTGTGACGTAGCAGCGAAGGTCGCGAATCCGACCCCGACCCGACCCCGCTCCCTCCATTCCTCCCCCTGCCATTTCCCGCCCCCTTCCACCGCCGCCTACACCCCTCTCGTTTTGGAGAGGACATGTGTGACGTGCTCAACGGAATTTATAAACAACGTTTTTTCATGAATATTGATTGAAATCAACTTTGATAGCCAGCCAAAATAAAAGACGTTTGGCTTAATGAAGTGCACATACAATTGGTTTGGCAGCTGATTACTTTCAAGTTACAGACAACTGCCTTTAAATAATGTAATTACATACGTATTTGAAATTTCCCCCAGTGGAATCGCCTTGGACAGAACAGCAGGTAATTTGCCATCAAAAATTTATGTGTAATTGATTAAAAGTTTCGCAAATAACTGATTAGACAGCTAAACTGGCGTTTAGCAACTGTACCTTTTGGTTAGTAATTTCCAAAAATATGTAAATATTTACTAATATACTAGTTCTAATATATGCAATTTTAATATTTGCCTTTAATTACCTTTAATATTCCAGTAAAAGTCACATTTCTTTAAATTGCATTACACTTTAATTTATTTTTTGTTACTGTTACTGCAATCTCCATCTATCATATTCTCTAAATTACAATTATTTTTCAATTTACTTACAGCACGGACAAATTGATCGGATGTTTTGGCCCCCAAACGGAAATTGTGTGATATATTCCGGGCATATCAATTATTATTTCTACATTGGAACACCATGGGGAACTGACAGTTGGGAAAAGCTGTCGGAAATTATGGTTTCCCAAGACGGCAAGCGAATCGACTGATCGCCGGCCTCCTTGCCGCAGACAATCTGTCACTTGATACGCGCTAAGCCACCATTACCACCATTACCTTTACCGTTACCTTGTTGAGATTCCCCACTAAACATAGGCACACTTTTGTACGGGCGCTGACCAGCGAAGCATTCCAAACCCAAGCCCAAACCCCCGTCCAAAACCCAGTCCAAAACCCGGAGATGCCATACAAGTGCCACCACTCAGCCGCCGGGAAAAATGTTATTTAATTTTTGTGACGCCCCCGGGTGGACAATTGGGGATGAAGCAGGGGTTTTGGCCTTAGCCCACCACCACTGATTGTGGCAATTGCAATTGCAGTTGCAGTTGCAGTTGCAGTTACAGTTGCATATCTCCATTCGGATCATATTTCGCTCAGCGGCACTTTGGCTTCTGGTCAAGAACCCCAAGTATACATCTACACACATAAGTGTTATGTATATGTATTACGGCATATAGAGTAAAAGAAACCTGCCTCAATGTCTGGCTTTCGATTTTTTGGGATTCATTCCTCTTCGGTTTGTTGTTGTTTCGTTTTAGCCTCCCCAGCGCAGCGCTGAAAAGTAGGCAGCCTTTTGCGACTGGGACACACACTAATGCGCCCCTAATAATACCACACACACATGTAAGTCTTCGGGCCAACACGTACAGGGAAGGTACTTAAACAAGCTGAAGCAAGAGGGATGTTCTGTCCACCTGCCACTATAAAAGGTGAACGCGGCACCGAACAATGTCTCAGTTAAATAGCGTTAATTAAGCGACAACCAGCGGCCAGCCAAAGGATCCTGCTCGTCTGCGAAGCTAAATATTTTTTTCAAGTGCTCCGCAGGATAAAAGTATCACTTGATCATCACTTGTTTTTTTTTTAGTTTTTTTTTGCGTGATTCAGTGACAAGGATATTAAATCGCACACCGACTAAGGGAAATGCAGTTTCCAATCAAAAATCAATAACCCATCGAAACCCATAAAATATATATACAGACATTGGTATATATTATTTAAAAACGAGCCAGGAGCCGCCGCGTTTCAGCCTGGAATTTCGACCACATGTCGTGGGCACATCATCATCACTTATTCAGCACTCGGTTCGGCAATGTCCGTTGAACTGTTATCCCCCCAGTAATGGTAGTGATTCACCGACCACGTCGCGAACCAAAAGGTGCTTATTGCAGCTGCTGGCCACTGCACAAGATTAGACTTAAGACTCTTGTGCGTGTGACAGCGGCTATTGTAAGAGGCCATAGAAGCAACAACCAGCCATCGTCCCACAATCAAGACCCAGATCGACGGGGTGCTCCGCGGGGTGCCATGCAAGGAAGCCCTAGAGGCCGCAATGCTAATGCAATTATTACCAATGTTGGCCGAAAACAACTAATATCGAATAAGCAGTTCAAGAATCACAACCGAAAGTGCCCGAAATACCTCAAAGACTAGAATCTAGGATCTAGGATCTGGAATATACAATTTAGAATTTAGAAAATATAATCTAGGATCTAGAATATAGGATTTAGGATTTTGAGGGCTGCTTTGGGAATACGTGAGATTCAACAATTTATCAATTTGGAATTTATATAATATACAAAGATCCGCTAATGGCTTAATAATAAAGATGTTTAATGCATTGTCAAATGGGTTTGAAGTGCAATATTCCTACAAATTATTTTTTTTTCATTAAAATCCATCCCGTTTGTCTAAAAATGGAATGCCATTAAAATGCCATTGAGTTTTTAGATTATAAACATGCATTATATTTTGTTATATAAATGTTTTCATAATATATTTTGGGATCCCTTATAAAGGATTCCTTCATAGCTTATCAATGTATAATAATATATCTATCTTAGCCCCATTTTTCCGATAAACGGGCCCAGCTTTCGTGAGTTATGATCGTTTTATTTTAATTTATGCTGCACTTGCAGTACTTGCGAAAGCCTTTGTTTTTATCACTTTGGCCCTTTGTTAACCAATTTTTAAAATCTGGCTGGTCTTCATGGTAAATTAGAAGACATGCCTTACAGTCTTCAATAGAACTAGTTGGGCATTATAGGGCTACAAGAAAATATATTTCCTAAACAAATATTAAAAGCGGCAATAACTATGTGTTCCAACAATAAGTTAAACATTCTTCAGACAATTTTTACTACTTGGTGCAAGTAACACATACACTACATAAATACATACATATGTACGTACATACATAGATATACACATACATACATACATACATACATACACACATACTTACATACATACATACATATATACATACATACATACATACATACATACATACATACATACATACATACATACATACATACATACATACATACATACATACATACATACATACATATATACATACATACATACATACATACATACATACATACATACATACATACATACATACATACATACATACATACGTACGTACATACATAAATAGATACATACATAAATAGATACATACCTACACCGGTACATACACCGGTACATACACTACACATACACTACACTCACTGCTCGACCGGTAAGAAAGATGACTTGAACTATTTTGACTCGAAATTAGAAGACACTCCTTACAGTCCTCGCTAGAACCAGTTGGGAATTATAGGGCTACAAGAAAATATTTTTCCCAAGCAAATATTAAAAGCGGCATCAACTATGTGTTCCGACAGTAAGTTAAGCATTCTCCAGGCTTTAATTAAGACAATTCTTACTACTTGGTGCAAGTAACACATACACTACATACATACATACATACATACATGATATTTGACAACCTTACATAAATCACGTGATCGCAGAGCTCATTTCAACACGAAATTTTCGAAAATTTGCTAACCATCTAATTATTACTCATCTAATTATTTGTTAGTTTCTGTGATATGCACTTTGCGATGGATTTTAGGCAGCTTAAAAGAAATACAGCAAAAGATCTTAACCACGAGTTTCTATAACTTATATGTGAAAATCTACTTTGGAAAGATATTCGTAAGACATTTAAGTTGCTAGCAATCGTGCCTCTGCTGTACATGTGGATTGGATTATTTGTGTGCCAGAAGTTCGACCTGAAAATTCCAGCACTCTATCTTGCTCTATATTCGGAGTAATTATAAAACAAATAGGAAGTTAAGACAAAGTTCAGCGATTTTTTACCACGAATCTGAACAAGATGAGTGTGTCCATTCTCATAGTGCGTAAGTTATAAATAAACAAATACAGAAATACATACATCGCTAGTTTTGAGAAAAATTCAACAATTTCCACAGCGCTGAGTTCTGTGTGGCGCCAGCAGGCGCAAAGATTTTGTTAAAGTGTAACAAAATCAAAAAATATGTATATTATTACGCAGGAGGTCATACAGAATGCTGTGCTGCCCACTTGGATATTATTATTCAATAGTTGTACATTTAATAAACACTTCAATTTACCAACTGTAAGCTTTAGTACTCCTCAATAGAGATCGATGAAATTCTCAATGGGCTCGCATATTTTTTGGACCAAAGCTCCTGGCTGAACCTTGGATGTATCGGGATCCCATGTGCAGTACATACTAGCTCCGCAGACGCATCGGTGGCTGAAGATGCACGTCGAGTTGCAGCTGGCACAATATCCGGAACACCTCCGGGAGCATTCCTCCCTTGAGTTGAAGTTAAAGGTAGTGGGAGTTCGCTCGGGGGTGCATGGAGTTAGGGCGATGGCCGCCTTTATCCCGGTTACTACTGGGCCATAACCAGGGGGATACTTATTTGCCCACAAGATACCTATTATCTGTGGCATTCCAAACGCACATGCGCAGATGACCGAAAGGGTTATACAACCGAGAACTGCGAAGAATTGGAGAAGAAATGATTATTTGCGCAATGCTTTTGCCAAAATTGTCTTACTCCTCATTGCTCCTCCGTAGTGCTGCTGTGTCCGGCTACAAATGATCTTAAATCGACGATTGTGGCTATATAAGTATAAGTAAAAAACAAATAAGTATAGCAGTATATGAATTCCTGGAAAACGACTTGCGATAAGTGTGTGTTCAGTGATAATATACAATGCAGTTCTACAATTCATGGCTGCTGAATAACATCTCAAAATCATCGCTATGCCAGCAGAGTAAATGGAACTGCAGGGTATATAGCACTTATGTATACATGATGTTCAAGAGTCGGCTAGATTTTTTATATTTTTATTTTCACTAATTTTTTGCAACATTTCATCTTTAATTATACATACATAGTTTCTCATAATTTTTACAGCTTTTTTATATATCTTTTTGTAATCCCACATTATGGTATTTTTCTGTTTTTCATTTTCATTCAATTCGAACAACTTTTAACTTTTTACATCAATTTAATGTCAATGAGTTTTCCATTTAGGTTTAGTTTGTTTATAAATATATTTGTTTCTTCATTTATTGTTGTTAAGAATATAGAGAATGCTACAAACGGAAACATGGTAAAAGGCTCCGACGCCTTCGTAGCGGGGGCGTGGCAAGTCGAGTTATCTTGTGGATGTACTGCACGTGCTGCACGCGATGTACATACGTGCGTCAATGTGTGTGTTTTGTGGGCGGGCTAGGAAACCATGGACAAAACTGTTCTCTTATATACAACGATTCGAGGGGGAGGACACTGCAAGGATCCAGGCAACCCATCTGCCTCCCCCATCAACTATACATTTCTCGTCTATATAACTCAGTGTGTGTGTGTGTGTATCGGGATATTCTTCGATTTGTGCTGGAGCAACGTTCACATGGATTATCGCGGCTGGGCGCACTGATCTCGATCCACCCGGCTCCGCTAGGCATTTACAATATTCGAGAGGCCATTACGAACTAAGAACTAAGAATGGCGTAGCTCTGCTCCCGCCACGAAAACTAGGCTTATCCGATCGAATTGCAAACATTTTCATTCCACATATGCTAGGCACAATTGTTTATTGAACAGAAAACAAAATAAAAAAAGGCAAATCATTTTTTTGTTTCTTTTTTTTTCTAAAGGCTTAACAAACTGGAAGAAATTCGAAATTCAAAATCGAACTGGGTCTGAGATTGAAACTAAAGAACAATAACGCTAACCTCAAGCCTAAACGGGTTTAGAACGGGATGTAGAAGGTCGAAGGATGTGGGCAGGTGGAAAGGAAGCTGGGCGTGTATTTCTGCTTACATGGTAGTTTATTTCACATAAGTTTAGGTTCTATTGTTGGTTTCTCATTCGTGTAGCTTTGAATTCACTAATTTTTATCGATTTTTCGATTTTTGTTTCCTTTTCTTTAGGTTTTGATAACATGAAGATCTCTTTGCAATCGATTAACATCAAATAAGTTTGTAACTGTTGATTATTTACTATATATATATATGTTGCTGCTGATGCTGATCCTTGTGACTGGTTCTGTGTGTGTGGGTGGTAGTGTCTATTTGATCCTGTCCTGCTTCGTGGCCTGCTGCTGCTGCTCATTGCGAAGAAAAATATATACATATATATTTATATATATTACGATTTTATATTGATTTCCTTCTGGCTTCGCAGTGTTCTGAAATGGCTTCCATTTTGCATTGCAACTCTTGTGTGGGGATTTATCCTGCGGGAGTTCCGTGTTTCCTTCATTTTGCCTTTCTGTGTAGCTTCGGCATTATCCTAAACTTCTGTTCAACTTCTTCGGCTTCGATTGCTTTGTGTGTGTGGGCGTGGGTGGGTGGGAATTGGTCGCTATGTGGATGGGGACAGTGTTTGGTGCATTTCGGATGATGGATGGGGAGGCGTTTAGTGGGCACTACATTCCGATTGCCTGCCGCTCGGCTTGGCTTAGTTATCCAGCCATGATTCGCGTCATTCTGTGTACTCCCACCACTCCTTGTCGTACCCCTCGTGTACGTGCTTTAGCAGAACAGAGCACCGCTTTTCACAATACCTAATCGAATGAAAACAAATGTTTGGAGAATGATTCGATTGTATGGCGCGGACTTGTCCCACTCTCTTACCTGTATTTATCCTGCACTTTTTGCTTAATATCAGCCAAATTCTCGGATGTAATATCACGTTCCAAATACTCCGACAACGTCTCGGTTGCCGACTCCAAGTCCTTTTGATTATCCTCGAATATCATGGATTGATTGTTCTTTTTCAAGTAATATGCAAACACGTACGTGTACATGAGAGTCTGGCGGCACTGGCAAAGTATGTCGACAGCCTTTTTCAGAAACTGCACCTGCGATTGCAATGAGTTTGCTGAATCTGCATTCTTATAGTCACGAATTTACACCACTTACCTCAATCCACGACATGTTGTGCTGCTGCATCTCCTCCATTTTTTGCTTAACAGATGCATACAATTTGTTCTCAAACTTCATCGACTGCATGTGGTTCATGTAGCGATTATAGTAGTGGAGATATCTGTGGATTCAGCAAAATATAATATATCAGTGAGTTTTGTTCCTGAATGACTTTCCCTTTCATGCGTGTTCACATTGCTCTGCATTTATAGCTCTACAGGTTTATAAGTGATTCATTTCTTTCTACGTTTTTCCATATTTATCATTTTATAAAGAAATTAGCAGATAAAATAGGCCGATAATGAATAAGCACAAAAGGCATTATCAGCGAACTGTGAAAAGCAAAATACACAGCTACTATCTTTAAAAAAGTCTTAATAATCATGCAACACAGTTCCAAGTCGAACCAAGTGACCCACCTGGCCAGCGAGGAGCGCAGCTTCTCCTGAGCATCGCGGGCGGTCTTGGCCTCGTCCTCGTCATATCGATTGCAGTTGTACCAGGATGAGCCGTGCGGCTCCCAGGAACCGAGGCACACCCAGCAGAACTCGTGCTTGCAGTTCTGGTTCTTGCACACCATGTGGTTGCAGCCGCCGTCCTTCTCAATGGTCACGCTGCACTTGGGACACTCTTTGGTATTGGCCGCGATCCAGTTGGACGTCTCCGAGTCGTCGTCGCACTTCTTGATCCACTTCTTCAGCCAACGGCATTTGACCGGATCGTGCCAGTTCTCGCCGCAGGCGAAACAGAAGACATGGCCGCACTTGCAGTGGACTCGACGGGGCTCCGCGTACGGCACCTTTACTGCATAGGTGCAGTCAACGGACGGACACCAGCGCAGCAGCTGGTTGCACTCCACAAAGCTATTGGTGATCAGCTGCTGGTACTTAACCCGCACCCGTGCGTCCAGCACCAGCTTGGTGACGGTCACGTCGTCCACCAGGATATCACAGCCGTGCGCCGCGCACGAAATGGTCTGGCCCAGACCCTCCGTCACGATCTTCGTTGACAGATACTCTTGCCAACAGATCAGGCAAAAGCGGTGTCCGCACTCCAGCCCGGTCATGGACTAAATGGAAAGAAGAAAAAGAGCTATTAGTACCAATTGTAGTTATTATAGAAGTTTTTGCATGTAGAGTAGAAGAGTTTCCAATATTGGTGAACAATTTTTGCAATAGGTAAAATTGAGTGTTTTGACTTTATAAATTATTTATTATTCGAAATCACTGTCTGTATGCACTTTGAGACCTGGGGTATTGTAAAGAGCTTGATTTGGAAGCATAAAACAATTTAAAAGCACCCACACAGCTCAAGGTAATTTCAATTTCTTGATAAGCGCACGCCCTGCGTATTTGTTTGTCACCTTTGCTGCCACTATATTTATGTATACCCCAAAGTTACTCTTTGCAATCCACTCTATAGAATGTAATACTAAAAATTCACTTTTTATACTACATTATTGAATGTATTATTCAACAAGACAGGTTACTAATCAATAATTCCTTAAACTGGCATAACCGAATTTAGGCCAACAATCAAAAATAATAAATCAAGCAAGTAAATTATTGATAACGCAAGGCAATAAACTAATTGATGGTATACAAATCAAGTGTTTTTAAAATATTATAGATCTGTGCAGCCAATCAACGCCCTAACATTATAATTAGATAAGGCGCCATTGACCAGGTACAAAATCATATTTCCCCCCAAAATATTCGTGGCTAGTCAGCGTGAAAATGTATTCTAGACCACAATTGGGTCATGGAAGCACCCGTCCCTCCTCCATTACAACTTACATCTGGCGGGAGCAGTGAAAAGCATATTTCGCACTCTTCGCACTGACTTCGTGTGGTCTGAAAATGAGGGAAATGCATTAGATGAGACATCAATTGGAGCCTTAGCACTTGGCTCACCTTATGTCTGACCGCTTCGGTGGCGTTGTTGAATGGATTTATGACGTGTGCGCATTTGAAGAACTCCTCTGTGTTGTCGTCGAAGTACTTCTCCAATAGCTTCTCCTTGTCCCACTTGAAGTGATTTAGCAGTATCCGCGTAGTGGGTGTGGGTAGCTGTGGCCATAAAGAACGAAACAAAGCGATGGTCAATGGATGATGGCAAATATATGGGTCTGGCATGAAAGAAAGGAGCGGGACTGCATCCCAGTTGGCCTCGAAATCAATGCCAAATCATTTGCGCTCAGCAGCACAAGCTACATATGTATGTACGTTAGGATGAACAATAGTCGAATATGAACTACTACTAGCAATTAAGTGGAATCTGCATTATGGAGCAATTGGTATTTCTAAGCTCTACAAATTCTACGAAATGACACCTATTGGAATGTTTAATATCAAAACATTTCTTAAAAATGGAAAAAAATAAAAAGGTACATGTTATATGTAACATTTTTGTAAGTAAAGAGGTGCTTTATTTAACTAACAATTAGATACTTTATCTGTATCGATCAAAGACGTGTCAATACGGAAAGTTAACACCAAAGCGAAGTGAATTTCGCTTATTATTGCAATATAAGATTTTCAAATGCTTAGATGTTTCTAAAGTCAATGAAGCAAAACAGTGTTATGTGGGTACTAGAAAATCTTTCAATTTGATCTAAGTATATAAGAATATAATATCGAATGCAATCCCTGCACTTCTACTCTATCAAGGGAATCCACCGAATTTCGGGAAAGTGAAAACATTGGTAGTGAACTTTGGGCAAGTCAGCTGCTGTTGCGGATATGGGATGCGGATCTGGCGACCTTGGGTGCGCCTGGGTGCTTGTGTTCCGATTTCACTGTCGCTGGCACTGGCAGTCATCAGCGGACGACCTTCAGCTTATCCCAGATCCCAGGCAGGGCGGTGGGCGGAAAGAGCGAGGGGTGGGGAGCACGATGTGCGGATACACATGCCCAAATGCTCTGTGTGCAGCATAGTGATGCCTCTGAGAGGCGAACATTTCTAGAACTGATCGGATATTGTTGGGAGACGGACGCTGCTATACTCTGCTAAACTATGTCAATATATAGACTCTATAAGGGGCGAAAACAGATGGTTGTACTGACTGGCTTTCACTGCAATCCGCAAGCACCAACGAATGCGGAAGTAAACATACTCTTTGCAAGGTTTGTGCTAGGGAGGCCTGACTGTATGAGCAACTAAAGGTGACTGCTTGCCCATCTTTGTTGAATGAACCTCTATGGCGGCCCTAGGACTGAGAGTTGGGTGTTGGGTATGCACAGTTGCACTAACGAGTGTTCACTGTACTCGCTCGCTTTGGGCTTTGCCATACCTTTAGCAGCAGATTGGCTTCGTCGATGATCTCCCGCTGGTGTTGCACAATCTCATCGGTGGTGAGCACCTTGTACTGGTAGTCATCTTGGTCCAGCTGGCGCTCCGCGGAGCTCGGCAGGTCCACCTCCATGCCGAAGTCGTCATCGCCGTCGTCGCCCGAGGAAACGTTGCCCGAATCGACATTATCGCAGAAATCATTGTCATTGTCCGAGTCCATTTTTCGGTTTTTGTTTTGCGCTTCTGCTTCTGCTTCAGCTGCTGCTGCTGCTGCTGCTCCTTCTTCTCTCTTCCTCTTCCTGTTCCTCTTGCACTCGTTTGCCTCCCCGCTCCACTTCTGTTCCTCTTTGTTTTCAGCTTTCGAGGCTTTGGTTTTACTTTTGCATTTGCATTTGCTTTTGCCTTTTCCTTTGCCCCGTTTTCAACTTGCTTTTGTTTACGTTTTTGCGCAGCCCTTTATGCCAGTTGTTCTTGTTGTTGCCCTCGCAGTGGCGTGGCCAGTTGCGTTTGGTCGGCGCAGTTTGTGCACAGCTCCTGCTTCTTTTTGTACACTAACTTGTTTTATTCTCTGCTGATTTGAACGCTGCGTGCTGGCTGTTTTAATTTGTAAATGAAAAATGCATATGTGAGATTTTCTAATGGCAATAGGAGAGCCTTTTGGGCCGTGGCGCGGTCATACTGGCGGCGGTATTATTCAGCAGGACGGCCACACTGGCCTGCACGCTTAACAGGGGCTAACTGCTGATTTAACAGCGAAAAGCCAAAATAACACTATGTTAAATGTGTGCATGTGTGTGCCCGCACTGTTTTATCATGTAAAATCGTCAATAAAGTCGATAGGACAAAAAAAAAAAACAAAATTATGTACACAAATGCACTTATCTTTTAGAGCAGATTATTTTGTTTTCAAGGTAATTGCACACACCAGCACACTGCGCACACACATGCGCACATTACATGTGTATTGCCACACACACGTACACACACACAAGACACATTCGGAAAGCTTATGAATTTGTGTTGTCTTTTTACGCACTTTTGCCGAAGTGAAAACACCAGCTTAGTTCACTAATTCGACGCCAAGTTCATTTGCAATGCACAGATTAAATGGAATTTTCACGGAAAACTAACCGTACAGCCAACAAAATGATTTGCATCGGTGTTGGTTCTCACTTGCTCTCTTCGCTTTTTCCAAAAAAAAAAAACACACACACACGCGCGCTCGCACAGTGAAGTAAAGTGTGTGTGAAAGAGAGCTGCGTGCGCCTGTTTGCGCTTTTTTCACATATACTTTTGTTCCGATTGTCGCATGTTTCATCAGCCGTTCCGTTGAATCGTCTGTTTATAATCGTCTGCTCATCGATGTGCGCCAAAATAGCGTCGATGTTCTATCGATGTTTGACTTACATTCGATTCAAAAACCAGTGAGCCTATTATGTGTGTTTTTATGTTTTCAGTGTATTTATAGCAAAGATATTGTCTAAAGCAAGAAAGTTGTGTTAAATTAACAGAAACTGTGTTTGGGAAAATAACTTTACAGCTATTATATTATATTCTAGCTTTACCAGAAGCACTAAATTCAAAGACACGAACCACATTGTCAAATTCCAATCCGGGACATGAACCTATTTGAAATAGACAATTTTTTTGACGAAAGCTTTACATTTTTAATTATGCAATCCCACAAAGTTTGTAGCAAAGACACTAGAATAATAAGATGCGTAACGGCCATACATTGATTTTGCACTATGCAGCCACTTTTTTGGTGGCGGCAGTAATTGCTCTCTTCCCGCTCGCATAAAATTGAGAGCATAAAAATCTAAAAATAGAATTCACTTGCTTGTGTGAATGAAAACAGTAATCAAAAAAAGTTGTGCTAGAAGACGATTTTCGGTCCGAAATCAATTTTGATCTAAGAAACGAATTTGATTAATGTTTTGGTCAATTTCGTTGTAATATAAGCTAAATATTATTTAAAAATTGATGCCGTGACTATTATTTTTTTTTAAGAAGTTGTTTTAATATTCCTTAGTTAAAATCCTTAGTTAAAATTGTAATGGGGTCGTATATTTATATAACCTTCGAGTCGACTTGAAATAATAAATGTTAAACATAAAATATTTCCATGTTCCCCAACTAAGCTAGTTTTCTAACTATTGCTTTTCGATATAATTTGCTCGTTTTTTTAATTCATTTTATTAAGTTTTTGTATTATATATATATATATTTATTTTTAGTCGTCACTAATTTTTCATATTTCAGATAGAATGCTGAGTTTTGCTTGCTTTTTTTGTTCATCAGCTGTCAGTCCACTTGCAATGCTTAAATAGTAAAACTTTTATAATTTTGTTTAAAATATTTTATTTTATTTTATACATAACAGTCATTATTTGAGTGAAACCATAATGAGAAATCGCTACTTTCATTTGTGCACTTAATGCATTGCTCTACAATAAATTGTTTTATACACCGTTGTTTTTTATTATTTTTAAAAATATTTTCAAAAACTTTAATGTGTATTTTGCAGATATTAAAAAAAAGATCAGATGGTGCCTTTAGTTTTCCAAAGTCCGATTCTATCGAGAAGTTTTTCTCATGTATGAAAAGTTCAGATGGAAATGTTAAATGCTAAAATTGCGAGGTTTTTAAAAATATCAAATTAGAATATGATAAAAACATTAAACAAAATAATATTTGCAATTGCATTTTTTACTTGTGTACTAATAATTTGCACTAATAAATATACTAAATAAATAAAAAACTTCATATGCAACATGTTTATTGCAAAATTGAATTCTTGAGGCAGGACCAGCGCACCAAAGATCAAAAGATCAAATATATTTTCCACGTCGCTGAATACTCTGTATGTATGTATGCATGTATGTATGTATGTATGTATGTATGTATGTATGTATGTATGTATGTATGTATGTACGTATGTATGTATGTATGTATGTATGTATGTACGTATGTACTGTATGTGTTACTTGCACAAAGTAGTAAAAATTGTCTTAATTAAAGCCTGGAGAATGCTTAACTTACTGTCGGAACCCATAGTTATTGCCGCTTTTAATATTTGCTTGGGAAAAATATTGTCTTGTAGCCCTATAATTCCCAACTGGTTCTAGCGCGGACTGTATGGAGTGTCTTCTAATTTCGAGTCAAAATAGTTCAAGTCATCTTTCTTACCGGTCGAGCAGTGAGTGTAGTGTATGTGTAGTGTATGTACCGGTGTATGTACCGGTGTAGGTATGTATCTATTTATGTATGTATGTATGTATGTATGTATGTATGTATGTATGTATGTATGTATGTATGTATGTATGTATGTATGTATGTATGTATGTATGTATGTATGTATGTATGTATGTATGTATGTATGTATGTATGTATGGATGGATGGATGGATGGATGGATGTACGTACATATGTATGTGTTACTTGCACCAAATAGTAAAAATTGTCTTAATTAAAGCCTGAAGAATGTTTAACTTACTGTCGGAACACATCGATCGGTCGAGATCCCGTATTTGATTGTCGAAAAACTCCACTTAGCGTCTCTTGTCTAAAATTTCAACCTGCACTTTTTCGGTAAAAGTTACTAGTTTGCAGGTGCTGAAAAATACGAAACGTCTATAATTGCGCACGAGCTACAATATATAAAAGGAATAGTAAATTACAGATCAAATTGAAATTAAATTTTGGAAACCAGCAAATGTTCCACAAGTTACCGTTACTTGAAGCTCATTTGTAAGCTGATTTTGGTATGGACATGGAAATATCGATAGCATCGGTATTTGCGTATCGATTTATACAGAGTTGCACTGGCAATGGGCGCCTTATTACAATTTCACTTAATACACTTAATACACCTATTTCACTTAATACTACTGGATATGGTATTTTAATTGCAACACCTGACAGCTGTTGTTTTTTTTCCTGAATTTAGGTAAATATAAATAGCATGCTGCTTTAATCAGACTGCGGTCATAATGCAAAACCGTTGGACGGCAGTTAAGTTTCTCCTTCTTCTAATGGTGCCAGCCATTCGGGGGAACCTGGACGGATCCGGAAGATGTGGGCCCTACGAGTGCCATCTGAGCAATCCGATTTGCCGATGTGAGTCCTTCTGCCAGGAGTTCACTCACCGGTGCTGGAAAAACCCATCAGGATGCCACTGTGCTAGGGGTTATGCCCGCGACGAAGGTGGACACTGTGTGCCCCTAATATTGTGCGCCTGATAAGATTTACCATCGAATATCACCAAATATATCAAATATCACCTTCTAATTCATATGTCAAGCAATGTAAAACCAATTTTACACGGTGCAATATATATATAGACAGACGCAGTTTAAACAAGGAAATATGGGTAATAAAACTAATCGGGCGTATTATTAAATAAACAGTTGCGCAATACTGATGTTTTTTGTTTGTCATTTTACACAGAAATAATATAGATATCTTTTCGATAATTTGCCTTTTAATTTGTATATCACAATCATTTGATTTGTGACAATTATAAAACCCATAAATAAAAAGTACAAATAAAATGCTTAACTCGAACAACATATCAAAATGAACAGCATTTTTTATATAATGAAACTGTCAATTTCAGAGTAAAATCAACTCAATCGAGTTAAATGGCTGCATTGTTATTTTCCTCACAAATGAGCAGCTGAAAAATGCACCCACTCCATTTGCATTTATAAATTGTTCTACCATGCAGTTGTCACTAAAACCCGGTTATCGCATATAATTGTGATTAAATTACATCTTATGTATATTTATATTTCTATACATATATACGCACGTTGTCCATTACCTATGCAAGCACACAGTTCGCTTCGAATTTACATTTCAGGAATTAATTGCAATTTGCATTAGGCGCGCCATAATTGCTGGCAACTTTTATAGCGAAACACCAGTCCGGGCTGCCCAATTCAATTACAGTAGAACCTTGCTGGGAATTTATTAAATTGTAGCGTTTTTTATTTAACTAAGCGGGTAAATAAGATTAAAAGCCACACAATGGCCTTTTGCGCTTGTGTTCTCTGAAATCTAGAATGTATTTAAAGGATAAAGTAACGACACAGGGCTTGTTTGATTATTCCATTTGGAAATAGAGAGAGCCCAATTAGTGTTTCACCGAAATAAAGTTAGTTCTTTAACGAAAAAGGGCAATCAACCGAAAAGTAGTGATATTTTCTCTCGAGCTTGCTTTTTATCTTCGCTGATGCTGCGGCTGTGCTTTATAGTTGTCTGCTGTGCTCGTAAAGCATGCTTTCCAGCGAAAGCACAAACAACGTGTAAAAAGAAACCGTTTCCAAAAGGCGGCAGAAATTGTTGCTGTTGTTTGCCAACGACAAAGGTCGCGCATCTGTTTATACCGGTAACTCGTGGATCAATATCAGTAAATTGCTTTCGTATAAGCAGAGATATACCCTGTACAGGCGAAATGAAAAGATGAATTTTTATAGCATTTGTCAGAAAGCAAACAAATAAGTCAAAACTACCCAGTTATCAAGTACTTAAAGTGATTTTAGAGACAATGGGTAGCAGAGATGCCATAATAAAAAGTATCTAAAAGTATGCCGTGAAAATGCGAAAATCCATGAGCATATTGTAGATTATGTAATTGCTAACACCTTTATAGCTTACCTATGCTTTTTGTGCCACTCCCGCAAATATGTAGTACCAAGTATCCCCAAGTCGGAACGATCGGCTTAAGCCTCACTTCTTGTTTTCAATTTGCAAATGCCAGCAAAACGAGGAGAAAGACACAGACAATAAATTATGAGCGGGAGATAAAACAAAAAGCGCAAATTGAACTGGGCGTAAATTAAAAACAGGACAAAAAACGCGGAGCAGAGGCGAAGAATGATGACCACAAGACCGCGGCCACCTGACGCAATTGTCGATGTCTGCGTGGGTGTGCGTGTCCTGCTTGAGTGTGTGTGTGCGGGTCTCCTGCTTGAGTGTGTGTGTGTGGTTGTGGGGCATGCGGCTTTGTAAACTTGGAGCGTGGAGCAGAATAATGGCAGTGTGGCAAGAAGACGGAAATGGAGACCGAGCCTGCGTGCTGAAATCAAAGATAACGACTCATCAACGGCGTCATAAAAACGTGACATCAATTTTATTGCCGTCGGGCGTTTGGACCGTATACGTCATCGTTCACGCGTCGCCACAAAAAAGGTTAAGCTGGAGGCACAGAATACGAGATCGTCTGGAAAGGTATGTACACACATGTTAGAAAACATAAGCGAAATATTTACATAACATCTATAATAAATGGCCGAAAAGAGGAAAAGCGAATAGGCAAAGTGCATGTTTGCAAACATGCACTTTGCTCCTATTCGTAAACAAAATGGTTTGGCATACAGCTATTGCTTTAACAAATTAAAAACTGACGCATTCAGCGAAGAAAATAGTTCAATATAAATACGAGCATGTACAAAAGTACATGTGAACTTATATGGTTTTGGGAACTATTTACTAGTGTAAGCCATTAAAGTGAACTGTTTGTATGGTATTTGTTTCATTTTGTTTGCTCACAGCACAGCAATAAATTTCCATGACTTTCGTTTGCTCTATAATTTCTCCTTCCATTCGCTGTTTTTTTCGCTTTATTTCTGCGGTCATTCGCAGGCTGGAATCCGTACACTTCAGCGAAAACATACCGCATAATTAAACTTTATTTACACATAAATTTAAAGAACTGTTTATATTGTTTACGGTGGGATTTGAGCACCGGATCGTAGGACCGTTGAAAATAGTTTTCAAGATATCTAGCTAACAATGTGATATGTGCGCATCTATTCAGCTGCCACGAATATTTAATGTACCTTTCATTTCTTTTCGTGTAGAGTTCGTCATCTGTTTGTTGTTGTTGTTGACCTACCGTACCGGCAGCGACAAATATTTTCACAATAAAATTCCTATTGATGTTTATTCATGCCCATTCCGCCCCAATCTTATTTCGCAGCGATTTTCGGGGGCAGTCGCGAAGGCGCCAGCAACACGACAAAGTTGTCGCAGGCGAATCGAAATTATTATTGAATGAACTAGCGCCATATCCGCAGTCCATTTCGCCATAATCAATTATTGAAGCGCCGCCCATAAAGCAGCCAGATGAGTTGGGATACCCAAAAACTACGGCCTCGCCGCTGCCCATTTGTTCGATTAATTATTGACGGCTCCCCAGGCGCGTATTAAAATTCATTTGATGTCTTTCTCGTCGCCTGGCAGCCCCTATTCCGTTTTCTCCAGCTCGTCGAATTAACAAAATCAAATATGCCCCCTTTAATCAGAGGGCCTACGAGTATTTGCCAAATTGTTGGCCATTTCTTGCCCCATAATATGATGGGCAGTTGCTTAAAGAAAATATTGGCTACATTGCTCAGATTTCCTTTCGTTTTGGAGTATACAGTTTGTACATTTAAATGGGAGCTGCGAGTCCCACGACAGGCTGCTCCTCCTCGAATGCGCCAAACATCGTCATCGACATCGTGCGTGTGCTCCTGTTATCGCTCGCGTCCCGGCGTCTTGGAGTTTATCCCACAATCCCAATCCCAATCCCGCCGGCGCCCACGCAGTTGATTAATCGTCGGTAGAATCACGTACAGCGACAAATGTCGCAGGTGAAAATACCAAAGTGCCCGCGGAGTGGGAATGCGAGTATGGGATGGAGTGGGTTTGGACTTAGAAGTGGGTGTGGGATTAGGTGTGGGTTTGGGTGTGAGAGCCCAGCACAACGATAAGCGCCGCTTCGGACCCACTCCCATCTGTGAGCTGGCATGCTGGCCATTTTTCCGCCAAAAAAGGGCATCCTTATCGAATTTGGTTATCGCCTATCGATGTTTTGCAACAGTTTTCCACTGTGCTTAAAACTGTCGCAGCTAGAAAACTTTTGATTTACAATGAACTAATGCAGGAATGGCTTAGTATCTTTTGGTCTTTATAAAGCCTTTGTATCGAATTCCGGTATGATGTACGACCAATTCGATTGATACAATGGAGTGCCAAGGAAGTTGGGCATATGAAAGTGATTCCTATGTCAGCACTCGTTGGCTCTGATGCCACGTCGCTGCCTCACCCCTCGAGTCCTTCGCATTAACATAAATAAATCACTTGCCGCCATCAATCAGTCTGTTTGCATTTGCGCAGGCAGCCGCAAAACACTTCGCCCCCAAACAGCCCCCAACCGCCCCCCACAACCATTTCTCTTTGTTGTCGACGACGCTTTTTGCTTTATGCTTACGCGCATTTTTCTTTGATTTATTGATGTCTCGACTATTAAGCAATTAACTTGAGGCTGTCGTCTTGCCCTAACCTCTGACCCCCCGTCGCCCTCTCGGTTTTCCCAGTTTTCCCACTTTTTCTGGCCAACCCACGCACTCTCGTTGGGAAACTGTTGCCCCGCCGACTTCAACCTGCTCCTTTTATTTCCCACAGGACATAAAAGGGATAGTAGGGCAGCAAAATCTCACCGAAAAGACGCATAAAATCACTTAGGTGTTCAAAAGCATGCGACGAATTTAAATCCGACATTGCGCTGAATCAATGCGGAAATTCCATTTTGTATAACATACTTTAACACAGTTTTCAAAATGAGTTCAGTTAAGACGTTGAATATTTTCAGTTAAAGAGCTGTATACAATATCAATTAGCACATCATCTTCTAGCACATAATTTCTAGAATTATCCCGGATTTTCTAGAATTATTCTACTCAACAGTTTTGTCTTGTAATTGATTTATTTTTCGGAATTGCCTTTTGGTCGAAAGAGGTTCCAGTAACGCCCACCGATTTCATTAATACCGTTTTCCGTGTGTGTGTGCGTGTGTAAATAAGTAATTATGCAATACAAATGATGGCTGCGGCATGACCACGCCCTAACCCGTGGCCACCGCCCATTTGGGTGTCTAATGAATTTGTTGTGTGCGAATTGTTTGGACATTTGTCCACATGCGCGGGCAGATTTATGAGGCAGCCGTCTCCCATTTACACAGCATACTTTTAGGGACTACCCCACACACAGACACACACACACACACACACAGACAGAGACCAAGAATAGCGCACACGTGTGCATATAGAGGGCCAGCAAAATGAGCTCAATAATTAGCAAAGGGGAAAGGGAGATAGCCAAATTTTGGTCACAAAACGACCAAAATGCGTAATGAAATAAATATCAATAAAGGGAAAACAGCACGGCGGAGGGTCAAAAGGGCAATACCGACAGCACACGTGCGACCCGGGTCAACTTTGGCAAAAACTTTTCGTTTCTAGCTCGCTATTTTTGATCATTTTTAATACAAAATGCGCAAGGGCAGAACCGTGCATAAATGTACGTCCGCATATTGTACATACATATGTATTCATAAAGTTGCGCAGAGAAAAAGAAAAGCGAGTGAGAAGAACGCAAACCAAAACCAACGAAAAATGTATCTACGAGTCCTGCAGTAGCGGCATATGTCTTTGAGAATATAAAATAGCAAAACAGCCAAAAAAGCGCGGCGAAGTGCCGCAAAATGGGGAAAAGTTGCAAGTCAGAGCTCACAAAGTGTACG